CACACACACACACACACACACACACACACACACCACCACCAGGTCCCTTCCCTCCCGCTCGCAACGTGTCCCTCTTCGACTGTCTTTTTCTTTTTTGAAAGCTAAGCTATGTTCTTCTCTCAGTTTCACCTCTCACAACCAACCTACTACTGCTACTAAGCCTATACAGGGGACCCCTGCAAGCATAGCTACCCCTCACAATCGAGGGGAAACATGTTGCCCCTGTCCTAATAGGCGGTGGTCAGGGATCAGGGCAGGGCCGCCAGTGGGGGCGGGCCGGCTAACACAAAGACAGCATTTTGGCAGTAGCTGCACCTTCCATCTACTCCCCTCACACCCATGCGAGCATCAGCAGTGTCTATGGCCAGGACTCAAAAGCCGCCCCCCTGCCCCCCACCCGCACACACACACACACACACACAACTCACACACCCGTGATGACGAAAGCCCAGAGGGGCTAGCCAACTATCTCAGTCCCCCCTCCTCTGCCATCTATGTGGCCAAGCCAAGGGATCAAAAAACACAAGCCTTGCACAACACCAAAACAAAGTCCACCCCTGATGCGGGACACAGAGCACGGGACACACAGGTCACTGTGAACTTGTATTCGAGCATGGGGAAACACAGGTACCGGTGTACTTGAATTTGAGCATGGGGAGAACACAGGTACCTGTGTACCTGTATTCGCAGGTACCTCTGTCCCTGCGGTGCATCTTCCCAGGTTCGAGCAGAAGATTCATATTCTCTTTTTGAATATTCCGAACATTTGTTGAGCAGCATGGACGAAACGATTACCGTTACCTGTGTACTTGTACTCGAACATGGGCTGAACCGTGTCCGCGCAGTGCATCTTCCCGCATTCGAGCAGTATTGCAATGACTTGCTGATTTCTGCTGCCGAGATTGACTGCGAGGCTGTACACTAACCGTAGGGTTAGATTCGCAATTTTGTTTGGCTGCGGGCTAACCGAGAGACCCGCTTGTTTGGAAATTCGTGAGGGACATATCTGTAATTTTGGGGAAAATTACAGACCTCGTACTAACCGGGTTCCTACAGCTACCCTAACTGCCGATAGCAGGCCCGGGCTACCCTAGGACAGATAGGCCCTAAGTGGCCTATACTGGTATACGGTCCGATAGCCTATAGCCGGGTCCGGTAGAGGCCGAGAGGCTGAAACAGCAGCGGTACCGGTAGGTCCAGTCAGTCCAAGTCTAGGTCTAGGCTAGTCTATAAGTCCTGTAGCGGAATCGAGTAGGGACTTTTGGCTTTCATTTTTCGCATGCAGCGTTGGTGGCCAAGGAAGTGAGCAGCGCTGAAGACCTACAGCGGCATCTGGGGTTTCAGCAGCCGTGAAGCAGCCATAGCCGCCCACCTGAGTCAGCCATAGCTGGGGCTGTACTCAKCGCATCTATCCCCTGGGGATATCTGCGTTGGCAGGGCTATATCGAAGGTCTTCACTGAGTACATGTGGGTACTAGTGCTGCGGTAGCAGCCAGGCAGCCATAGCTGCCTTCTTCATCGTCAGAGTGACTCATCGGCACTGGGGACTACTTCGCTGTTCATGATCTGCATCTGGGTGGATGGCGCTGGCCTCTGGGAGGCTGTTTCTATGCAGCGCTAGACTCTGAGAGTGTAGTAGTGAGTGGAGTGTGTGGTACTTGAGTGGCGAGATACTGGGTTGAACTCTGGAACGATAATTGAGGTTAACTGTGTTGAGTTGGCTCGTCATCTGGGTTACTTTCCAATTGTGATCTTCGCGGYGTCTATTGTGATTGGTTGTTGGGAGTGTGTCAGGGAGAGAGAAACACTGAGTGTATTCTCCCCTTCTGTGCATAATTGCTATTCCGCTGTTTATCTCTGATCTGTGTRCAGTTGGACCCTGTSTCCTTCTCCCCTTTGTCTCATGCATGTATGGGCGTGTGTGAGTTCTTCAGAGTGAGAGTGGCAATCAAATTGTCAGACAACCAAGTTCATAACAGTTGGTATCGGAGCGGAGATTGGACTTGGAGTCCAGAGGGTTGAGCGCAACAGGGGCACCTTCTTCATCTGGCCCTAACTGGCAAGAAGATCCATGGTGGTTCTCCATCTCCAGTGACTATCCAGCAGGGAAGAAGGAATACAAGCGGTGATTGCAGGAGTATCAGTTGCGATTGATCGGGCACCCTGAGCCTGTCTGTGTGCCTGACAGGAAGTGGCGAGAACAGGGGTATTTCGCCATCCACCCTTCTGACCTCAGTTGATGACTAGGATCAGGATGGCGAATTATACCCTAATCCAGTAATAACTGGGTGGCGGCTTCAATCCCAGTGTAGCGCTGAGGGAGGATTGATCGCAGGATCACCTCCTGCTAAATTAACCCTATTCAGGGCTAAATTTAGCACCAGCAGCTCATATCTGCAGTGGCGAGAAATCTTCAGGAGAGTTTTCTTTCGCCACTGAGCCAGATTCACTGAATCTGAGGGTGTGGGGTGAATCGCCACATCATACTGGAGCAGATCAACAAGTTTCAGGAGATTATGTACGTGGGAAGCTCTGGAAGACTGTCTGCAAGTACTGGCGAGACTAGGGTTTGGCAGCCATAGCCAAAGCTTCAACATCCACTAAGGGTTATACTTCAAGTGAGTGCGTTCCATATGAATCCCTGAGTAGCGATTAGTATAGCATCAGTAGAAGTAGGATTAATGGTCTGTCTGTCAGTAGCATAACAATCGTGAAATTGTCAGACTGAAAGACAGCCATATCCATCTTCTTCCTCCCTACCCTGACTCATATCTCTTCATCTATTGACCTGTTTTGACTCCAAATTGTTCTGGGACTGCCTTACAGTATTGTGCTGCATCCTGTATGTTCATTCTGTGAATTCTGTACTGAAAAGACAGTGATACTGTAGATTTGAGTTTTGCGCTGAGTCTATTTATAGTCTAGGCTACCTAGGGTCAGTCACAACTCAAAATCTGACCGTCAGAATTCAAGTCTGTCAGTCTGGGGTGAATCGCAATTCTATTTTTAGCATCTCTGCTAAACCGCTAGTCCAGAAACACTGTATTTGGGTCATGACAGGGTATTCCTGAAATTCGCCATATCTGGGTGTATTTCTGTTGATGTCAACAGTGGCGAAATTTGAGTTTAGGGCTGTCAGGGTCTAGTTTACTAAATCGCTGCTACTTGTAAGCCTGTTTCAGTTAATTCTTGCCTGTTCCCTTCAATACTACTAATTCTTTCTGCTTTCTGATGGGCTCTGGAATGTTAGTGACCCCTGGAATGCTGTGAAACTGCATGTTGCAACGTCAGTAAAAGTTCAGTGTCAGGTATAGGAAATCGTTAGTTAATGATTTTACTGGACACCCTGTCAACCTGATTACTGACCCCAGTGGTCCTGTTCCAACCCTAACCGCTTGTGCCCACTAACCCACATTGCTTCTGAATTGACAGTGCAGCGAAAGTTGAGTGTCTGCAGGATCTGTAAATCGCTGCACCCTCTGCTGTTTCATTTGTTTATTGTGTTGTTTGGTGAGGGAAAATGTCTGCCGCCTCTGACGCAGGTGCAGGGAACGTGGAAGTGGTGGTTAAGGCTGAAGAACAGCCTTCAGCCTCAACTCCTCCTCCCCCTCCCCTGACCCCTGCGCAGCGACGAAAGACAGAGATTGAGGCCAAGCTGCGAGAGCAACAGGCGCTGCTCGCAGAAGCTGAGAGACAGGAGGCATCAGAATTGGAAGCTGCAACAGATGCATCTCGCAAGGAGCACCTGCTGCAGCAGGCTGAGAAAACTGTTGCTGATGCGAGAGTGGCCCAGTGCACCCGAGACCTGGCTGAGCTGATATTATTGCAAGACAAGCTTACAACCAGCCATTTCACAAACTGGGACGAAAGGATCCAGAGGTTGGAGACCAGAGTGGCTGATCTGGGAACTCAGCAGTCTAAGATCCTGGATTCAATCCAGAATCTGACTGCTCAGTTAACAGCAGCCAACCTGATCTCTCCCCTGGTCCCTGTGGTCCCCTCTCCTAAACCCCCAAAGCCTTCTCAGCCCTCCTCTCCACCTCCTTCCTCTCCTCACTCTTCTCGCAAGTCTTCTCCCTCTGTCTCCTCCCAGGCCAAAGCCACACCTCCTCCCACCTTTGCTGCTGTTGTTGCTGGGGACCACAGAGGTCCCAAGATTCCTGCCCCCAGCAAATTCAAGGGGGATGACCCCAAGATTGATGTGGGGGACTGGACAGCTGGAACCCGGGCCTATCTGAAGGGGTTCCAGTGTCCAGAGCAGCAAAAGGTAGCCACCGTTGTGGGGCTGCTGGAGGGGCCTGCCCAGAAATGGGCTACCTCTACAGCAAGCGCCCAAAATCAGACTTTGGAGGATTGGGCCTTGACACTGGGGGCTGACAAACTTTTGCAGGCCCTGGAAGATCGGTTTGCAGACAAAGAAAGAGTCCACAAAGTTGCTGATAAGATAGTACGCCTGGGCCAGCAGTGTTACAGCGGCAGTCTGCAGGCCTTATTTGCTGAATTTGAGCAACTGACTTCCACCCCTGGTTTGGTTATGTCTGCAGATGATCTGTTGACTAACTTTTGCAGGGCTGTGCCTGAAAAGTTCTGTGTTGCTGTGTACAACGCCGGTCACAAAGATTGGAGATCATTTGGACGTGCAGCACTGGACATGGAAGCTAAGCTTCATGTCCAGGCCCCCTCCAGTGACAGGAGGAGAGGCGCCTTCCCTCGCGGTGGTAGAAAGGGAAAGGCGGCCTTTGCATATGCGGGGTCTGGGTCAGCCTCTGACACAGGTTCCCAGCCTGGTACACCGCCAGCTGGGACTGTTTCAGCTGCTGTTCCAGATGTTGCAGCAGTTGTCCAGCAGCTGCAGGCTGCGCTGGGGGCTTTCCAAAAGGCCGGATCAGCCTCCAGCACAGCCTCCAGCAGCAAGGGGAAGAGCCAGGGACGTCGCTCTTCAACCCCTGCCCGGCGCCCTAATCTGCCACGTGACGTCCACTTCCCAGCAGACCCACTGAACCCCAACACTCTCCCATGGCATGATCTGAAGATCCAGGAGGGAGTGTGGATGAAGAGGAAGGAGAGAGGTGTCTGCTTGAGGTGTGAGGGACAACACTTCTTGAAGGACTGTCCCTACATGCCAAGCCCAACTCAGTCAAAAAACTGAAGCTAAACCTGGAGACAGCAGTTCCCTCCAGTGCTGCAACTGCATCTGCATCTGCAGCAGCTTCATTTGAGACTTCTTCCTTCCCATCCAGAGTGGGAGTTGCGTGGGCAGCATCCTTTATCTATGAGGATCCTGACCCGGATCAGGAACCGGACCAGTCTGAGTGTCAGGCTCTTGCTGCTTTTTTCTTTCATCTGAAAGAACAAAAGCAGAACAAGTCTGATCTCATCCTGCTTCGGCCCCTTATCAACCATCGCAGGATCAAGGGGCTATTAGACTGTGGAGCAACTCGCAACTTCATGTCTCCCAGTGCAGTCCAAAAACTGCATCTGGGCATGAAAGTGGTGCAGCTGCAGCAACCGCTGCAGGTCCGCATAGGGGACTTCACTGTTCTAACCATCAGGGAGAAGGTCAGGGGCATCCCTGTTACCTTCGACAGTGCGGGAGAAGTCAGACACAGTCTGAACTTCTACATCTTCCCTGACCTACCCTTTGACCTTGTGTTCTCTATGCAGTGGCTGAGAGCAGTCAACCCAAGGATCGACTGGCAGATCCCCAAGGTTGAACTGCCAAACAGCAAGGGGGTGTATCAGCCTTGCATGATTACAGCTGATCATCACCCTCAGACTTCCTGCTTCTGCTTGAGAGCGAGAGAGTTTTACGCTCTCTCTCGCCAGTATGATCACGAGCGTCTGTTCATCGCTCTGGTCAAGCAGACAGACGCTCCCTCTACTCCTTGTCCTCCTGAGATACAGCAGGTTGTGGACCAGTATGCTGATTTGATGCAGGAGCCCTTTGGGTTACCCAACCGGCCAACCAAGCATCGTATTGAGCTACTGCCTGGGGCGGTCCCTCCCAAGGGCCGCATCTACAAGATGTCACCTGCTGAGCTTGAGGAGCTCAGGCGACAGATTGAGACCCTGACCAGCAAGGGTTGGATCAGGCCCAACACTTTTGAATTCGGGGCTCCAGTCCTCTTTGTTCCAAAGGCGATTGGTGAGTTCAGAATGTGCATAGACTACAGGGGTCTCAACAAGATCACTAGGAAGAGCACAGAGCCACTTCCTAGGATCGATGACCTTTTGGATATGGTCCAAGGTTGCACCATCTTCAGCAAAGTCGACCTCAAGTCTGGCTATCACCAGATTGAGATGGCAAAGGGGGACGTCCACGAGACGGCCTTCAAACCCAAGTATGGTACTTATGAGTACCTGGTGATGCCATTTGGACTTTGCAATGCACCTGGTACATTCCAGACTGAGATGCACCGCATATTCAGGCCGAACCTGGATAAGTTTATGGTTGTCTACCTGGATGATATTCTGGTATTCAGCAAAACTACCAGGGAACATGCGGAGCACCTGGCTCTAGTTCTTCAGTCATTACGTGACAGCCAGTTTAAGATCAACAGGGAGAAATCCTCCTTTAGAGTTCCCTCTGTTATCTATCTGGGTCATGTGATCTCTGGAGATGGGTTGGCCCCTGAAGCAGCCAAAGTTGCTGCTATTCAGGATTGGCCACAACCCCAGACAGTGAGAGATGTCCGGTCATTCTTGGGTCTGGCCTCCTACTATAGAAAGTTCGTCAGGAACTTTTCTGCAGTGGCTGCACCCCTGACTAACCTTACAAAGAAAAACACTCCCTTTCTTTGGTCCCTCCACTGTCAGATGGCCTTTGCACGACTCAAACAGGCCTTGACTCGTGCACCTGTTCTAAAGTTGCCTGACCCCACTCTGCCATTTGTTCTCACTACTGACGCCAGTCAGTATGGCATTGGGGCAGTCCTTCAGCAGGATGATGGTAATGGTCTGAGACCTGTAGAGTTTATGAGCAAGAAGATCAAAACTCAGAAGCTTCAGGACTCCACCTACGAGAAAGAGCTTTATGCTCTGGTCAGTGCCCTGAAACATTGGAAGCACTTTCTCCTGAGCAGGCACTTCAAGATCTTTTATGATCATTCCACCCTACAGTGGTTGAAGTCCCAGGGGGAGTTGAATGACAAGTTGGCACATTACATTCAGTTCATTGATCTGTTTGACTTTGAACTGAAGCACAAGAAGGGCTGCTACAACAAGGTAGCAGACGCCCTCTCTCGTAGGCCTAACTCCTTTGCTTTGATCTCCTCTACTCACTCCTTTGGAGAGGAGGTCCGTCAGACCATTGCTCGATTACTGCCTCAGGATCCGACTTATGGACCCATCGTCAGGAATCTGCAAGCAAATCCTAATTTTGAACCTGGCTATGCCATAAGTTCAGATCTGCTGTACACCTACAGCAGAGGAGAGGAGCGTTTGTGCATCCCTGAGGATCAGCAGCTGAGGACACTGCCGATGTCAGAGTGCCACAATGCGCGTGGACACTTTGCAGCCCTGTCGCAGCGCTTCTTCGGGAAGGAGATGCGGAGTGATATACTGCACTATGTGGATACATGTGAGCTCTGCCGAAGGAACAAGGTTCAGCGTAAACCTCCTTTGGGACTGCTCAAACCTCTGCCCATACCTGATGGTCCTGCACAGTCTGTCTCTATTGATTTCACAGACTTAGGCAAGACCACCCCTCGTGGCATGCGTCAGGTTATGGTCTGCGTGGACAGGTTTTCCAAATACGCAGAGTTCATCCCCTTGCCAGAGGTAGCCAGAATACCCGCTGTGAGAGCAGCCTTCTCTGAGAGGTGGGTCACTCACCATGGACCGCCCACTTCTATTGTTAGTGACAGAGACCCCAGATTCTACAGCGATGAGTGGCAGTCCTATTGCAAGGACTATTTGCACTCACGCCTGGACATGACCTTTGGTCGTCATCCTGAAGCCAATGGATTGGCTGAAGTGATGAACCAAGTCCTATTCCAGCTGCTACGTCCTGTGATCTCCCCAGATCAACAGGACTGGGATCTCCACTTGGCGAGGGCACAACTCATGTATAACATGTCTGTCTGCTCCTCGACAGGGTTCAGTCCCTACCGGTTACATTGGGGACGTGAACCACGCCAGCCTCTCGATGACATCATCGATAAGGCTAAGCCTGACCTTACCCCAGGCACTGCAGAGTTCGCCAGACGCTATCGTCTGGATGTGGAAAGAGCCCGGGGGAACTTGTTCAAGGCCCAAAAGGCCATGATTGAACAAGCCAACCGCCACAGGCAGCCTTCCCCCATCCGCACTGGTGACTATGTCTAGGTGGCCAGTTCTGAATTGTCGAGGGAGGAGGATATTTCTCCCAAGCTGTTGCCRCGCTACCTGGGTCCGTGGAAGGTTCTAGATACAATGGGCGCTGACCCCTTCGGCCCATCGTACGTCATTGACGTGCCCCTGCATCTACGAACCTATCCGGTCTTCCATGCATATAAGCTGCTGCCTTTCACGCCAGCTGATGCATTCCCTGACCGGCCTCCTCAATGGGGCCCACCAATCCCTGGTAAGGGATATGATGTGGTGGCCATTGAGGATGAGTGGGGCACTGGCCCCGACCGGCAGTATCTTGTCAGATTCACTTTCCAGCCCCCTTCTGAGAACCGATGGTTCTACAGAAGAGACCTGATCAAGACAGCAAAGTCTGTAGTTCTGCGGTTTGAGGCAGCCCAGAAGGGTGACCTTCGCCGTTCCCCTCATCTGCACCCCTAGCTCGGAGGTCCTCGCTCCCGGCGAGGGTAAGCCTACGATGACTTGCTGATTTCTGCTGCCGAGATTAACTGCGAGGCTGTACACTAACCATAGGGTTAGATTCACAATTTTGTTTGGCTGCGGGCTAACCGAGAGACCCGCTTGTTTGGAAATTCGTGAGGGACAGATCTGTAATTTTGGGAAAAATTACAGACCTCGTACGAACCGGGTTCCTACAGCTACCCTAACTGCCGATAGCAGGTCCGGGCTACCCTAGGACAGATAGGCCCTAAGTGGCCTATACTTGTATACAGTCCGATAGCCTATAGCCGGGTCCGGTAGAGGCCGAGAGGCCGAAACAGCAGCGGTACCGGTAGGTCCAGTCAGTCCAAGTCTAGGTCTAGGTTAGTCTATAAATCCTGTAGCGGAATCGAGTAGGGACTTTTGACTTTCATTTTTCGCATGCAGCGTTGGTGGCCAAGGAAGTGAGCAGCGCTAAAGACCTACAGCGGCATCTGGGGTTTCAGCAGCCGTGAAGCAGCCATAGCCGCCCACCTGAGTCAGCCATAGCTGGGGCTGTACTCATCGCATCTATCCCCTGGGGATATCTGCGTTGGCAGGGCTATATCGAAGGTCTTCACTGAGTACATGTGGGTACTAGTGCTGCGGTAGCAGCCAGGC